TTAAAAACATCTGCTTCAACTGCTGATGGGGTAGACCCCCCCCCTTCAGTAAATCAAGGTTTAAAATTAATCTTGGCACATGAAAAAAACTAGGATCACTAAAAGATGCACGAGTATATTCTGGATCTTGATTATAGCCGATACAGTTACAAAGAACGTGGACACAACTGATGAATGACTGGGTATATTCTGGATCTTGATTACAGCCGATACAGTTACAAGGAACGTGGACACAACTGATGAATGACTGGGTATATTCTGGATCTTGATTATAGCCGATACAGTTACAAAGAACGTGGACACAACTGATGAATGACTGGGTATATTCTGGATCTTGATTATAGCCGATACTGTTACAACGAACGTGGACACAACTGATGAATGATAACGAGTATATTCTGGATCTTGATTATAGCTGATACAGTTACAACGAACGTGGACACAACTGATGAATGATAACGAGTATATTCTGGATCTTGATTATAGCTGATACAGTTACAAAGAACGTGGACACAACTGATGAATGACAACGAGTATATTCTGGATTTTGATTATAGCCGATACGGTTACAAAGAACGTGGACACAACTGATGAATGGCAACGAGTATATTCTGGATTTTGATTATAGCCGATACCGGTTACAAAGAACGTGGACACAACTGATAAATGACAACGAGTATATTCTGGATCTTGATTATAGCCGATACGGTTACAAAGAACGTGGACACAACTGATAAATGACAACGAGTATATTCTGGATCTTGATTATAGCCGATACGGTTACAAAGAACGTGGACACAACTGATGAATGACAATGACCTTCTCGTTGTTTTACATCTCGTGACCTACACTATCGCCATATTGTAGTCATGCATAATTCAGCTAAGTTTCATCTCATTGCAAATTTCAATTTTAATTTACTGTATGGTTTACTTATGTTCAGAACCGAGTCGCTATTTTTACTCACTCTGTATGCTATATAAACTAAGAACCACTTGCATAATACATAGTCAACAAGTTTGATTGGCAACCAGGGTTTCTCGGGTCTAGCAAACTGCTAATTCAGAGGGTTTCAGTAGTTATTACTAAGCAACACAAAATGTCGCTTGACATTTTTTTTTTTTTGGTTGTGAGGCCATGACTACGATGACTACAGGGTTCCTAATAAAATATTGGTCGCACAAAAACATGGGCAAAACATACACAAAAACCCGAGCAATGTTGCAATTAACCTCACTAATGATCATTGGTTTCCCTGTGTACTTTAGAAAAGGAATGGTTTCATCCAGTTTTCTTGTTCAGTTCTTCATATCTAGTTTTAGTGATCAAAACAAAAAAAAAGTACCCAATAATTGGACCCTGCCGATAATAAATAGTGCAACCAAAAGTCGGGAAATTGAGGATTAATACTCTCACCTAGGTTCAAGTATACTTTGAGTCTGAAATATTGAAAAGTACTTGTAAGCCAACCAATCTCTCAAGAGGCCCAAATGAAATTAGCACGGTGTAATAAAATAGTATCAAGTATTGGCCTTGCAAGTGCTAATCTTAAGCAAATAGGCTTAACATTCAGTCGTTTTAATTTCGATTATAATGCTTTGTTATGGTTACAATGTAGACAGTACAATTAAATCTAAAGAGAGGTTGTCTGTTTCACCGAAACAAAACCTCGTTCGTCAGTAAATTATCAATTCATTGCAGAACTATTGACGTATTACACATCACAAGGTATTTCGCAACCCGTATCACTCCGCTCGCTCAGACGGAATTACCATATTACGACTGGAAACACCTTCTACGGGCTGGCGAATCAAGATTATAACCAATAGGCCTAATACCAATGTCTTATGACAGGTATGACTGGTTAGAATTACCACGTGTTTAATTGTCATTTTGTTTATAACAATGGACGGAATTCAACAATATGGAAGTATGTTTTTCAGTTTCTCATACAACAATGAAAAAATGCATCACTAAGTACTCTTATTCTAAGTAGTCTTTAACAATGGTTCTCAAAGTATGGTTCTAGAGGGCCCTCCAAACGGTTCGTAGCGAAATAGGGTGGGGTATGACCAGTAGGTGGTACCATAGGCGGTCTTACCTATTGGGCAAACTGGGCAATTGCCCGGGGCCCGACACATGGAAGGGCCCCCGATGCTATGCCTTTTGACCTACTTCTGAGTTTTCTTATCATTATGGGGTCCCAATTTACTGAATTCTGCCCGGGGGCTCCGGAATGAGTAAGACCACCCCTGGGTGGTACGCGGGGTCTTTTGCTCCGCCGAAGTGGTCCTTAGACGAAAAATGTTTGAGAACATCAAAGTCACGGTAAATGCCATATAACTGAAAGCAAAAAAAAATCTGAATGATGTCGAGTCCGTAAGATTTGTAAATTGTATGGACATATCATTGTAAAATTCATCAACTGAGCGTTAAGTTTCAAGCATCGGAATGCGAAACTGAGAATACGTTAAACGTCTACACTTGTGTGAACGAGAAATGCAGACATACGATCAGGACTGAGGTCAAAGGTCAAGGTTTGGAGCGAAGAGAAAAGACGTAATGTCTTCATTCAATACAATTTATCGACTCCTAAAACTAACCATTTTCAAAACTCGAATTACACTTTAGGACTCGGAAAAACGCACGCTCGTTGGAGAATACACAATCTAAAAAGAGCTTGTACGAGTAATAGGCCAGTAGCCTTGTAAAATACTTTAATAACAGTTTGACGTCATAACGTAACTAATTTTCTTTTAATGAGCATAGGAATTACAAAAGCACCGTTAATTACGGACGTTTCTTCACAATTCCAAGAACGTCCGCCATTAAAGATGTTTTTTGTTATTACCGCGTTTTTAATATTTGTTATAAAACTTCGTTTTCCAATTGATGAATCACGAAAAATATAACAAAAGATCGCAGACTGGCCATCAGGAGGCGCACATTTTCTCTCTTTCGTATAATGTTCGATAGTGAGTGCATATTAAGCTTGATATTTGATGTGTGGATGTTGACCAGTGCTATGCAACCTAGGGGACGTGAAGTACGCCTATATCCTTACCTTGAACGTGAATTTTATACTAAACGAATGAAAATAAATTCGATGACGAGGAACCCACTTTGAGACTAATAATGGCTGGAGACGGCTTGAATGGGTAATGAAGAAAAACTTCAATATCAGTTTAACATAAAAGCAAATGTACAACGTTTCGACAAGGTTTTGTACCTGATGATGACAAAACCTTGAATGAAAATAAAATTATATATTTTTTTCTACCAGGAAGCCACAAAACAGGGATAATTAACTTAAATATTGATCTAAATGAACGATAAAAAAAGCAATAAACATTTAAAATATTTTTTTAATGAACTTGTGGACAGAAATTGATCATCTATGACAAAGATAAAAGTTTACTACCAGGGGTCCAGGAGGCAACAAAAAATAAATGTTTAGTATTACAATAATTGTGCAAAGGTACACAAAGCCTTGTACGTAGCCATCCGTAATTATGAATGTGTATATTAAAACACCCCCACCCCCACAGGCTCGTTGATACGATTAATATAATCAGTGTTTTTCGTATGTTTAAGCTTTTCTTTACCACAGGTTATTCCAGATTCTGCTCACTATATGAAGCAAGTCCATAGATAATATCATTAAAGGCGGGAACAAAAACACTTACTTAAGAACGACTGTTAAAAACAGAACGAGTAGTAAATTTGACAACTTTCTAACACCAGTTGAGCGCGGAATTATCATATTAAACAAAGGTTTAGTGTCTACTGACAATAAACATGTCTAGGAGTTTCCACTGTCATTAAACATGTAATAGGTCAAGGGTCTAGAAATGTCCACTGACTCTAAACATCCAATAGGTCAAAGGTCCAGAAGTGTCCACTGACATTAAACATGCACTAGGATAAAGGTGTATTGTGTCCACTTAAACATGCAATAGGTTAAAGTTCTAGCGTGTCCACTTAAAAATGCAATAGGTCACAGATCTAGTGTGTCCACTGAAATTAAACATGCAGTATGTCGGAGATCTAGTGTGTCCACTGACATTAAACATGCAGTATGTCAGAGATCTAGTGTGTCCACTGACATTAAACATGCAGTATGTCAGAGATCTAGTGTGTCCACTGACATTAAACATGCAGTATGTCAGAGATCTAGTGTGTCCACTGACATTAAACATGCAGTATGTCAGAGATCTAGTGTGTCCACTGACATTAAATATGCAATAGGTTAAAGTTCTAGCGTGTCCACTTAAAAATGCAATAGGTCACAGATCTATTGTGTCCACTGATATTAAACATGCAGTATGTCAGAGATCTAGTGTCCACTGACATTAAACATGCAGTTTGTCAGAGATCTAGTGTGTCTACTGACATTAAACATGCAGTATGTCAGAGATCTAGTGTCCACTGACATTAAACATGCAGTATGTCAGAGATCTAGTGTCCACTGACATTAAACATGCAGTATGTCAGAGATCTAGTGTGTCCACTGACATTAAACATGCAGTATGTCAGAGATCTAGTGTGTCCACTGACATTAAACATGCAGTATGTCAGAGATCTAGCGTGTCCACTTAAACATGCAATAGGTTACAGATCTAGTGTGTCCACTGACATTAAACATGCAGTATGTCAGAGATCTAGCGTGTCCACTTAAACATGCAATAGGTCACAGATCTAGTGTGTCCACTGACATTAAACATGCAGTATGTCAGAGATCTAGTGTTTCAACTTTTTAAGATTTAATATCTAATCACATAATATTATACACATCAAAAATTCGTTACTGGATTGATATCTGGTTCTGGTTGATAAAGGTTTTGATCAGAAGTTAATATTAGTAACGTTTTATAAAGGTAGAAAGCTAATAATGTACGTGTAGACAAATCTATTTACAGTTCGTACATATACTTATCCGATGTCCAACTTTACGGTAAAGCTTTTTAGAAAAGTTCATGCCTATATTAAATATAACTCACCTGACCTTACTTCCGTGGATGCCGCAGTAGAGGGTGAAGACGTACGTAGGGGCGCTGCTGTCGACCCTCCTATCGTTGGTGGCCTGGTGGGTAAGGTGGTGGGTTTAGCTATCTTAGTGGGTATTTTAATTCCCGAAGATTTTTGGCTCATTTTGTCCGACAGTATATATATAGGACCTCGGATTCTAGAGGTCGAGCGTAGAATTCTTTAAAATGCACGAACGAGTCAATACTGGCACAGTCACCACCATCCGCTCAGAACGATTTCCATATTACGCAGTTCTCTTGTGTCGCCCTCTGCGTTCGTTCTCGTATATCGCATTGCAGCTATAGGGTCTGTAACAGCAACAACACAAGTGAGCTTATAACTAATCCATACGCGGCGTTTTCAGAATCCCACGAACGGAGAGAGGAGTATTCGCACCTTGTTAATATGTCATGCCTTCTCGAAGACACCGACAGATACAACCCACGGGAATACGAATCTTTAAGGTGGGCGACGAGCTCCTATTTCGAAGAGTCCCGGTAAAAGAACGACTATTCTACCGACAGAGGGATTGAGTTGCTACGCGTGAAATCGCGCGCGTTTACGTCATACACCAGTTTAATACTCAGATATATTCTCTAGATACTGCTAGTACAACGCCTTACAGTTGAAAAAAAAAAACATTTTTTTTTACTTGAAATGTGATTGTTCTGATTAACGTAATGGTGATTCTTATATTCGGTTACGTCATGCCTTCTAATAGTACAACAGTAGCTGGATCTCGTTGACTCCTGTAAATATAAGCACGAAAACGATTAATACAATGTCCACTAATCAACGTCAAATACTGCTTTTTTAACTCTACAGAATGAAAATTTTACATGGGTTTTTCACATTTTTAATTTGCGTTTTTCACGGGGTATATTATTTGACAGAATTGTCATATCGTTGAAACATGATTGAGAAAAAGTGTGAACAATAACCTGCCTTGATAAGATCTTCGTTGTTATACAAATCCAGAAATGCTATACTGTAAGTGGAAGAGATTAATCAGATAATCGTGTATTCTCTCTTTCTTTATTAAACAATATGTAAACAAAACAACAACTGATAACTCATTATTTAATTTCTGTAGTGAATATTGGTGTACAGAAGACATTTTAATACTGTAAATAAACGACCTTATAACACCAAATTGTTGTTTTTATTGAATTAGACACTCAACGTTTCGCTTTACAGCTTCTTCAGGAGCGTTCCACTAAAACACAAACCGAAACTGATAGTACAAAGCTTCAAACAATGGAACAACAATAATTAAGACGACAGTGATGGTGGTAAACTACCACAGTCATAAGCATTCCTTTAAAACAATGTATAGTGCAATAATAAGTAAGACAATAGTGGTGGCAGTAAACCGGCTTAATCATAAGCGTTCCTTTAAAACAATGTATAGTACAATAATAAGTAAGACAATAGTGGTGGCAGTAAACCGGCTTAATCATAAACATTCCTTTAAAACAATGTATAGTGCAATAATAAGTAAGACAATAGCGGTGGCAGTAAACTGGCTTAATCATAAGCGTTCCTTTAAAACAGTGTATATATAATGCAATAATAAGTAACACAATAGTGATGGCAGTAAACCGGCTTAATCATAAGCATTCCTTTAAAACAATGTATATATAGTGCAATAATAAGTAAGAGAATAGTGGTGGCAGTAAACCGGCTTAATCATAAGCGTTTCTTTAAAACAATGTATAGTGCAATAATAAGTAAGAGAATAGTGGTGGCAGTAAACCGGGTTAATCATAAGTATTCCTTTAAAACAATGTATATATAGTGCAATGATAAGTAAGACAATAGTGGTGGCAGTAAACCGGCTTAATCATAAGCGTTCCTTTAAAACAATGTATATATAGTGCAATAATAAGTAAGACAATACTGGTGGCAGTAAACCGGATTAATCATAAGCATTCCTTTAAAACAATTTATAGTGCAATAATAAGACAATAGTGGTGGCAGTAAACCGGCTTAATCATAAGCGTTTCTTTAAAACAATGTATAGTGCAATAATAAGTAAGAGAATAGTGGTGGCAGTAAACCGGCTTAATCATAAGCATTCCTTTAAAACACGTACACTACAATAACAACAAATAACAGTGATGGTAGTATTTTTTCCATATATATATGTGTATGTGTCGTTGAAGTAACCAATATAAAGTTAGTTGTCGTTAATCAGGTTTTTCATCATATATACCGCCCACGTAACAACTACAAAGCTGTCGTTTGTGAGGTTTCTAATCAGATCAGCTTTTCTGTGTATAGCAAATGATGTTTGTTTGTTACACAATGGACTATCGGTGCTCTGCCCACCACGGGTATCGAAACCCGGATTCTAGCGAATGATGTTGAAAATAATTCATTATTTTATTTTCTTTGAGAAGTTTTTATGGTTCACAGAGAGGTAAGGTCAAGAGAGGCTGGATCAACACGTCAACCATAACAGTTAATCATGTTGATAAACCAGAAAAGTTTTTCTAAGAGTTATTCAAAGTCCAGATCTCATAAGAGATAAATTTGGAAACAGGCCGCGAGCTTTCTGGATAAAAAAAAAAAAAAAGACAGACAGACAGACTCATGACTACGTCATCCATACGATAATTGCCGATACGGTTTAGGGTCACAAATCGTTTTTAATGAGAAACACTCGTTATCTCGAACACCAAGAAAATGAGTTTGAAAAGCTAGAATTCACGTGTTTGAATATCATCACAATAAGATTGTGTTTGTGTGTCTGTCTGTGTGTAACGTAACTCTTCCTAAACCGCTGGTCGTACCAGCTTCTAATTGGTACCAAACGAATCGTCTCAGTCCCAAGGTTTGCGCAAAAGCAAATTTTGTCCACCGACCCTTGGGGGAACCCGGGAATTTCGTGAAAACCCCTTCTCCTAAATTGCTGGACTCACCAAATTCTAAGTGGTGCCAAAAGATTCGTCTCGGCCCCTAGACTTGCACGGAGGTAAAATTTTTCACACAACCCCTTAGGGAACACAGGTATTTCGCAAAAAAAAACACAAAAAAACAGTCTTACGGGGATTCCCCGAAAGCGGACCCCAAATTTGGCATTGATTTACGTTAGAGCACGTAAATACGTAGGCCTACTAGTTACCGTTCGTAACTTGGTTAGAGAAATTAAACTTGCATTATAGCGACAATGGTCACTAAACTGAAAAAGTGCAAAATAGTAGTTCAAGCATTAATTTTGTATTATAGCGGCCCTGTAAACTTGGGCCATAGAGGCCCACGGGTTCGCTAGTCATATCTAAACATCAGTTTCGCACCGAAAACCCATTCCACGATTCGTTATTGTTTCAATAAATCTAGCTACAAATTTGGACTTGCGGTTCTGTCTTAGTAGTTGAGATACACCCACGTAACTTTCGCCTTTCATCTGAACACTAAAGCAACTGTTCGCATAAGACTTATTCTTAAGGCAGAGACCTCTAGTGTAAATACATCTCTTTTTTTTAAACTTCGTCTCATAACAGAAACAAACACAATCGTGCATACAGAAATACACAGTGGGAGAAAATATTTCAAATATCTCAACTGCTTAAAACACGTAAGCATTGTAATTGAACAAGGAAAGAACAAAGCCTCCCTTCATAACAATATGGTTCTTATGACATCCGGTTTACGCACTTGGTATCAATCAGAGATTTATGCGCTTTAAAAACTTTATGCACAAATAAAATTTAACACAACAAAATATATATATATATTTCATTTAAGTCACATAAATAATAAGTAATGGCCCTCCATTTATTTTCACCCTTTCCAGTACCAGCCTCAGCACATGTATAAGGTTGAACCATCCTCGTTTCGCTAGACTCAATTTATAAGTATATATTAGCAGAGATCTGTAAAAAAATTGCGGTCAAATTAGTATCTTTATTGCCATAGTACTCTTTTAAATACAGGATTTCTAAATAATTCTAATCGCAGACACTGAAATCTGCAAGTCCACTTGTCTTAGGCCTAACATTAGTTAAGCCTTTATTAAGTACAGCCTATATTCGATAAAGAGATAAATTAACACTATAACTTGCGTACGTTTTTTGCTTTAGTTTAGTTAGGGCTAAACTTTGCCGTACTTAATACTATCAGTAAATAAGCTTATAATGTTGTTCTAACGTTAACTTTAAAAAAACAAACTATAATGAGTTTTTCATAAGTTATTGTACAAAATGTCTACTAAAGTATATTTACATCTACCTTTTGTTTACGTTCGTTAAAATGAAGTGCGCGCGCATTTTCAAGACAGAAAAAAAATATTATTTCTAATAGATATACATAGCAACTACTGCTGTTTAATACATTCAAATACGCAACACGTGCTTAGGGTAGGGTTAATGTAGAGGAAACTAAAACAAACGGCGAATTTTCATGTCACAACATGATTGCGCGAAAAAACAGATACACAAAAACTGCTATCTAAAGGACAGTACGTCATAGCAGTACACTTCACTTATCATGGTCACTAGAGGTGTGAAGCCGTGATACGATTGTATCGATACGTTGACCGATACGATACATGTATCTTCACGAAATTTGGCAAGCTTTCAGTAAATATTAGAAGTCTTTTGTGCAAAGAAACAAACAAACAAAAACGGAATTTCTAATAAAGAATTTTGCTAGAAATTAATGTTTTGATAAATGGAGTCAAAGTAGTCACTGCTCCTCGTGTAAAGCGATTTTCATGTTAAGATTAAAAATACTTTTCTCCACCTTAAAATTAACAAATTTCTTTTGTGCAATCTCTAAAACCTCTGAAATAAATTTTCAACTTTTTCCCGATAAATCTTCATATTTTTTTTGCTATATTCACTACCCTAATTTTATGTGAAGTCGGTCAGTTTGACCACCTTCGTAACCACCATAAAAAATACAATATAAATCAAAATTAACTTTTTTTCTTTTTAGAATCACTCCAAATTGTAGCAGGAAATTACATTTGCTTACATTAAATAACTTAATGCTCTTAACATTATACACACGTTTCTAATTACGGAAGCGGTGTGCTAGTCATGGACCTTTAGATCCACATGACAGAATTTCCAACCTTTTATATTTTTTTTTTTTACAAAGATAGCGCAGAATCTATACGCCTACTCTACTGTTAACTATTACAAATTCTGTTTAGTTTTCCGACACAATACTCTATAGCATTCCTACTACTCGAAACAGCACAGTTTGTTTGCTGTTAATGGGCTATCTGTGCTATGCTCACCACGGGTATCGAAACCCGTTTTGTAGTATTACAAGCTTTCAGACTTAAAGTCGAGCCACTTGGGGGGAACAAGCACACGGTCGATATGTAAGGTCGTTAAAACTGTACATGTGCCAAAATTCCCGTTTTAGCATTAAAAAACGAAGAAAAGGATATCCATGAAACGGAGTGCATCGTCTTCTATTACACTACTTTGAATTACGACAAGAAAAAAGTCCACACGAGAAGTTTGCAGGTTTTATGGAAAAAAAATCGTTTTTTTTGGGGGGGGGGGAGTTAGAAGTTGTACGAAACAGATCACTATTAAAAAATAGGCATGTAAATATAACACCCAAGTCTCTTAAACCACTGTTACTGTGTAGAGGTTTTAAGAAATATGTACCATAGACCACCTGATAACATAATGTAGTGTACTGGTATTAGTTAAGAAACATGTATCATGGACCACCTGATAAATATAACACCCAAGTCTATTAAACCACTGTTACCGTGTACAGGTTTTAAGAAACATGTACCATGGACCATCTGATAACATAATGTAGTGTATTGTTAACAGTTTTAAAAAACATTTAGCATGGCCCACCTGATAACACAACACAATGTATTGGTATCAGTTTTAAGAAACATGTAGCATGGACCACCTGATAACACAATACAATGTATTGGTATCAGTTTTAATAAACATTTAGCATGGACCACCTGATAATACAATACAGTGTATTGGTATCAGTTTTAATAAACATGTAGCATGGACCACCTGATAATACAATACAGTGTATTGGTATCAGTTTTAAGAAACAT